CAGCTACTCAAGAGGCTGAGGCTGGAGAATTGCTCAAACTGAGAAGGTGGAGGTTGCAGTAAGCCGAGATCATACCACTGCACTCCAGCTTGGGTGACAAGAGTGAGACTCTGTTTCAAAAAAAACCCAAAAAAAAAAACAAAAACGCAACCATTGAAACCACCAATTAAAAATGCAAAACTGGGCTGGCCACGGTGGCTTATGCCTGTAATCCTAGCACTTTGGGAGGCTGAGGGGTACAGATCACCTGAGGTCAGGAGTTTGGGACCTGCCTGACCAAGATGGAGAAACCCTGTATCTACTAAAAATACAAAATTTGCCAAGCGTGGTGGCACACGCCTGTAATCCCAGGTACTCGGGACGCTGAGGCAGGAGAATCGCTTGAACCGGGGAGACAGAGGTTGCGGTGAGCCGAGATTGCGCCATTGTACTCCAGCCTGGGCAAAAAGAGCGAAACTTTGTCTCAGGAAAAAAAAAAAAAAAAAATCCAAAACTGGGCAGGCATGGTACTCACGCCTATAATCCCACAGCTCTGGGAGGCCAAGGTGGGCGGATCTCTTGAGGCTAGGGGTTCAAGACCAGCATAGGAAACATGGTGAAACCCCATCTCTACTAAAAATATAAAAATAAATAGCTGGGGGTGGTGGCATGCACCTGTAATCTCAGATACTTGGGAGGCTGAGGCATGAGAATTGCTTGAACCTGGCAGATGTAGGTTGCAGTGAGCTGAGATCTTGCCACTGCACTCCAGCCTAGGCAATGGCGCTGCACTATGTCTCACAAAAAAAAAAAAAAAAAAAAAGAAAAAGTGTCTCTACCTGATTCTTGGACTGCTATCTAACAGATTTTATATAAAAATCAGAAACACAGCATGATGGACTCTGCAGTTCAAATGCTGTGAAGCACACACATGTGCTTCATGCAGCATGGTGCTCCCTTGGGAAATAAGCCTCAGTAAGTGGAAGGCAGGGGCACTCACCTGCTCTGACCCTCCAAATCCCTGGACAAGACAAGGGAGCTTTTCCAATCTCTAAGATTGAGATGGAAACAAATTCTTTACTGTTATTCTATTATCAGCTTGCCTGTGCACTGAAATCTTTTATTCCTCGAAGATGCCACTAAGAGTCATAACACAAGGCTTGAACAAGCACAAAGAAGAGTGAGAGGGAAGGCAGGGAGGAAAAACACTTGGGAGGAAACAAGTGGATTCCCCTATATGAGAAGTTGCTATGTGTGGGAAAAGAAAAATGTAAATGATTCCTTCAAGTAAATGAACACTTTTTCCTTCCCTAAAAAATGTCCCCATCATCTTACTGTGATTCTTAGGTAATGTACGCAAAAGGGAATATTTCTCAAAGTAATTAAAGAAGTTTAGCTTAGTTCCTACAGCAACTAAAAGAGATTGGGAGACTTTTGATAACTACAGCATTGGATGAGACATACAAAAAAATTATGAAAAAACAAATCACTTTCAAATGGATACTCGTAAAAGAAATAAGATGCTGGAAACCTGATAGAAAGTCTTTCTTTCATTGGCCCCAATTTTCAAATTCTACTGACAATCAAGACCACTTTATCTTCTGTTCTAAGGCTGATAAATCTTAACTCCTACTTAAGAGTTATGCTGGGCCGGGTGTGGTAGCTCCTGCCTGTAATCCCAGCACTTTGGGAGGCTGAGGTAGGTGCATCACTTGAAGTCAGGAGTTTGAGACCAGCCTGGCCAACATGGCAAACCCACGTCTCTACTAAAAATACAAAAATTAGCCAGGCGTGGTGGCGGACACCTGTAATCCCAGCTATTTGGGAGGCTGAGGCATGAGAATCGCTTGAACCCAGGAGGCAGGGGGTGCAGTGAGCAGAAATTGTATCACCGCATTCCAGCCTGGGCAACAGAGTGAGACTCCGCCTCAAAAAAAAAAAAAGTTATGCCTTATCCACAATTTATAGGAAAATAATTATCAAATAGAGAAACACAAAGACTGTAGAATCTCAACAGATTTCTGGTCCTTTAATAAAATTATCTAAAGGTATCTTTGCTAGTCAGAATGGTTTCCAAATACATAACTCATTTAATAAAATATAAGCTATACCACTACTTACTTGGGAATGGAAGATGGCCAAATAGAAATGTGTTCAGCTGTAATATCATTCACAATGTCCTCCTTTAAAAAGAAAAAAGGTGTAATTTACAAAGAAATTTCTTTCAAATTTTTTAAATGAAATTATGAAATACTTACCCGAACATTGTGAAGTTTCACAAAGAGTGATAAAATAATAGTCAAAACCAGTGGTTCCTACGAGAAAGAAAACACAGAATCCTTAAACAGTGTGTGTGTATATTTATTTTTCTCCTGTCAACCTCACAGACATCAAGCAATTTAAAAGACCCTTGCCTTTTTAAAATTTAGCATCTGTTTTAGCATGTGCTTTAGCACACTAAAAATCAACTTTATTTTTAATCGCATGTGGGCGGGGGGTGGATTATAGCACATAATTTATATAAAATTAGCATATTTAAATGTTTGGCTTATGGTGCTATCTCCAAGCTCAACTCCTCACATGACTCTTAAGTGACTTTTTATTCCTTCAAATAATGTTAAAAGGGTGAAACCTAGGTTATGTCCAGTAAATAAATATGACATTGATCCTACTAAGCAAAAATTAAAGTCAGGCTTCACACATCTAGTCCCTATTATGAAGACTTTTTTACAATTTAAAGAAATACCTGCTCCGTTCACTAAAACATGGTAAAGTAAATGAAAAACTTTTTCAATCAGATTATCCCACCCAACAATAATGATCACTGAAGAAAAGCACATTAACAGGCCACTTTAATAATTTAAGCAGAAGCCAGGCAAGGTGGCTAACACCTGTAATCCCAGCACTCTGAGGGGCCAAGGAGGGAGGATCATTTGAGACCAGGAGTTAGAAACTAGCCTGGGCAACAAGGGGAGACCTCATCTCTACAAAAAGTGAGCTGGGCATGGTGACATGTGCCTGTAGTCCCAGTTCCTCAGAAAGCTGAGGCGGAAGGACTGCTTAACCTCAAGAGTTAGAAGATGCAGTGAGTTATGATCACACCTCAGCACTCCAGCTTGGGTGACAGATCAAGACCCTCTCTCTTAAAAAAAAATTTAAATTAAAAAACAAACAATAATTTAATCAGTATTTGAAGTACCCAATAATTTTTAGTCATAGTCTACAATAACCAGCAATAGTAATTAGAGCAATTTTTAATAAAACTTACTCGTAATTTTTTGATAAAAGAAAGCAGTTCACTCCTACAAAACAAAAATTTTTGAATATACATTAAATATTAGAAAGTAAAAATAAAATCAAGAAAGTAAATTATAGATGAAGGTTTATTCTTAATGCTCCAATTCGGCAAGTATGAAAAGGAATGTAATATTCTATCGTCATACTAACCTAATAACATTTCTTCCCTGTTTTAATCACATGTGAAGTCTTCAATACTATCCAACCTTAAACACTACTGATTTTTAATTCCAGTTGATTAAATGATTAATAGTTTCTTAAAATGACACATAAACAGAAGATATTTCCAAAAGTGGCCAAGGCAGACAGGTTCATCACAGACGAGTACTACAGAACTCATAAGATTGTCCAACTTTATGACATACACAATAAAAGCTGATGTTCTTGAAATCAACCTTTAATAGGTCAATAGTATAAACAGGATAAATATTAAGAACTCGAACACAACTGACAGAAACATACCAATACATACCGATACATGATACCTAACGTAGATTCCCTCTGCTTTATTAGACTAACTCTGCCATCATTTCCTCGTTTGTGCTGACTGGACACACTACAGATTTGAACAACAACTTCCCAAAGGTCTTTGGCAGTCCGTCTACTTTCTTTAGGGCCTGGAAGTTCTTTGCATGTAGCTGCTAAAAGCTGTCCAAGCTATAACATGAAAAACAAAACACACAAAAGATAATCTGTAATGTCATGCACATTAGTTCTATTATCAAGGCACACTGGAGGAAACATGGAATGACTGCCCAAACATACTAAGCACAGTTATTTTATGCTGTGCATTCTGTACAACCTTTGAGGAATTTAGGGCTCATTGTCTACTGACAGATCTGAATCTGGGAAAGATCCTCTGGTTCGAGCATACAAACTTTGTCTCTGAACAATTATAGTCTAGTGAAAATGAAAATGAGACAATGCAAAGAGATAGGTGATTTATTAAGTGGAAAAAAAACCGAGATGCTAAATACACATAGTATTATCCCACGTTACATCGGGAAAAAATTGTGTAATGGAAGGCATACACCTAAATGTTAACTGTAGTAAAAGCCCAGGGGGTGAGATTAAAATACTTAGATTTTTCTCTCTCCCTTGCACACATATGCACACATACAACTTCTTATCACTAAAAAAAAATGTTTCAATGAAAAAAATAAGGAAAGGAATAAGGAAACTGAAGTTGGTGGAATTAAGGGATACAGATTTAAAGCAATTTTTCTCTAAGAAAATTGGTAGCAACTGGGAATGGAGCTACTGCTCATCTGAGGAGGTAGAATTAAAGCAGGACAGGTTATATAAAGTGACTGGTGTGAATAAATGCAGCCTCAAGGACCTAAGACGTAGGGAGCACCCAGAAATAAAGAGTGGAAAAGCTGAAAGCAAAAGACAGAGAAAGACTAACTTACAATAAATTCAGAATTTCTTTTTTTTTTGGGAGACAGGGTCTTGCTGTGCACCCAGGCTGGAGTGCAGTGGCATGATCTTGGCTCACTGCAACCTCCGCCTCCCAGGCTCAAACGATTCTTGTGCCTCAGCCTTCCGAGTAGCTGGAATTACAGGCATGTGCCACCATGCCCCGCTAATTTCTGTATTTTTAGTAGAGACGGGGTTTCACCATGTTGGCCAGGCTGGTCTCAAACTTCTGGCCTCAAGTGATCCATCCACTTCGGCCTCCCAAAGTGTTGAGATCACAGGCGTGAGCCATGGCACCTGGCCAAATTCAGAATTGGGACCCGTTATTCTTGTTCATATTAACTTTTATACTCCATGGCTCTTGTAGAGGGTGCAGTAACAAGGATAATTTCAAATCCATCAGGAACCCCTTGTTTCTACTTAAAATGGACCTAGAAAATTTTCTAGGGGTCCCTACTGCTTAAGGCAGCTTTTTTAAGGCGGCAGCAAGATTGCGACAAAGACAAAAATTGGTGGTTTTTCTCTACATTTTCTGTTATGAAAAATTTCAAACAGAAAAATAAAAAAAAAATTCAATAAATACCTGACACGTTGTGACTATTCTGCCATGTTTGCTTTATATATCTACATAAATTGTTTTGTTAAACCATATTAAACTAAGTTAGACACAATATTTCATCCCTAAATACTTCCATATACATCTTCTAAGGACAAGGACATTTTTCTCCATAACCACAACTCTGTGATCATGCCTAAGAAAATTAACGAGAGTACTGTGGCTTTCCAAAGCTCATGAGAATAACATAAAAATCCTACCTATACCAGGTGAATGGATATGGACCAATGGCCTAGTAGGATATTTCATCCTGCATGCTCACCTAAAATACTCGCCTCTGACAAATGGAATCACGATACATGCAACTATTCACTGCAGTGTAACGCCAGGGATACTGGTGCTCTTAGCTCAAATTCATCTTCTGTTGTCAGGGATCATATGCTTTAGGTCACTGAATTTATTACATAAATTACATTTTTAAAATGTTCAGAGGTCTTAGGCCCCAAATCAACTGAATTCCACAAACATTCTTGAGCACCGACTATGGGTGGGCATCATGGAAAGCACAACATAAAAATTAACTGCCCTGAAGCAGTTCATTGTCTTATAGAGAAGACAAGTGGATAAATAACTTATTATTCAGCATAAACACAACAAAAGAAATAGTCAACAGTACAACAGTACAAAGGAAGCAAGAAGAGGAAGTGATTTACTCATTTACAGAGAAAATAATATGGGAAAGCATTAAAGAAATCACACGAACAGGCAAAGCTGGGAAGGACATCCTGGCTAAGATAACAAACAGCATGTGCACAGGTGCAAAATGGAAACATGGCGTGGGCATGCTGGTGCTGCCAGCACAGGGCTGGAACACCAAGGGGCAGGGGAGCTGCACCTGGAGGAGGAGAAGCATGCACACCTTAAGAGGGCTGGTAGGCCACATGAACAACCTAAGGTTTTAGCCTACACTAGGACCACTGTGGCTGCCAACCCCTACTACTACCACCTAGGCTCTTATCATCCGAGTGCCTATAAACCTGTGCCCTTTCCATTATGTGACACTACCACTCTCTCTGATCTAAGGGGCAGACTAGACAGTTTTATATTATTTCAAAAGGGTGCATTTTAGTCACATGCTTAAGAATTTTCTGTTCCTATTTGTGATTACATAATATATAAGTAGGAAAATATAACAGAATAGAAAACATTAAAATAACTAATACCCCATTTTCCAGAGATAATAGCTGTTAATATCCTTTCAGACTTTTTCCTACACGTGTGTGCGTGTGTGTGTGGTGTATTCCACACCAAACTGGAAGTGTGGACACTGATTCAGATTATATTTTTTTTCAAAACACCACCCCTCATTCTAAACTTCTTTCTCTAATTCCTTTTTCCTTGACATTAACAAGGCAGTGAGAGGGCAATCATGTATGGAAGGTGGCACACAAAACCCTAACCACCAGATGACATATGAGGAGACACCTAAGTGACAATTCTTTCGCAAAGTCACCACACATCCTTCCTGCTTTTGGACCAGATCAGGGGAACTGCAGGAAGCAGTGAGACAGCCTCTCCCAGAGTCAGGCAACCAACAAAACAATTTCCTGTGTCCTTACACATTGTAGACCCTCAAGCATTCATTACACAAACACATGCCTATCTCTCCTGGTGCACAGCTCCACAGAAGTCATTGCCAGAGGTAAAGAGAAGAGTTACTCTACTGTCTTTGCACTCAGTGACAAGCTACGATTCTAAGTGTAAGAGATAGTAACCTTGGAACAAAATGGTTCCCTCATCTGATTTTCTTAAAGGCTAAGAAAAGACTGTTGGGCATAATGAGACAAGTACCCAAGAAATTAAGAACTCACATTCCAGAAAGTTCACTAAAGAGACAGAAATGATTCAGGCTGGGTGCGGTAGCTTATGCCTGTAATCCCAGCACTTTGGGAGGCCCAGGCGGGTGGATCACCTGAGGTCAGGAGTTCGAGACCAGCCGTGGCGAAACCCGTCTCTATTAAAAATACAAAACAAAAAAAAATTACCCGGGTGCGGTGGTGCACGCCTGTAATCCCAGCTACTTGGGAGGCTGAGGCACAAGAATGGGTTGAAACTGGGAGGTGGAGGTTGCAGTGAGCCGAGACTGTGCCAATGCACTCCAGCCTGGGCGACAGAGGGGGACTCAGTCTCCAAAAAAAAAAGAAAAAAAGAAGAGATAGATATGATTCAATGTCTGAAATTTCAAAGAAAAGGATAATTCAAGTATGGCAATTTTCATGAGCAAGTGTAAAGATAACAAAAAGAGGTGGAAAACTGAAAAAAATCAATAAACTCTCAATAAAGCCTCAAAGGGTTAAAATGAAATGAGTTCAGTTTTTAAAAGGACATACGTGAAATATGAAGGAAGAAACAAGTAACCAAACACAAATGTTACGAAGTGGTACAGTTTTACAAGAGTTCCCAGATAAACACAGATTTAAAGGATTTTGTATTACTAAAGATAAGTTGGGACAAACGAGGAAGAATAACAAAAGGTAATAGGAACAAATAAAATAATGAGAAAATCTGAAGGACCAAATATACCCAAAAAGGAGAGTGGGACTTACAATGTTAAATCACTACATGTTTAACTTTGTTTTTTGGTGTTTTTTTTTTGAGATGGAGTTTTGCTCTTGTTGCCCAGGCTGGAGTGCAATGGTGTGATCTCGGCTCACTGCAACCTCTGCCTCCCGGGTTCAAGCGATTCTCCTGCCTCAGCCTCCTGAGTAGCTAGGACTACAGGTGTCCACCACCATGCTCGGCTAAATTTTGCATTTTTAGTAAAGACAGGGTTTCACCATATCGGCCAGGCTGGTCTCAAACTCCTGACCTTGTGATCCACACACCTTGGCCTCCCAAAGTGCTGGGATTACAGGCATGAGCCACTGTGCCTGGCCTACCTTGTTGTTTTTTTTTAACTGTAACACCAGAAAGTGAGAAAAACTTACTACTTATTCAGTTTGTATAATATTAACACATGAAAGATATAATCTTAGAAGAAACCTCCAGTTTCTCATTAGTTTTGATATTTTCTGTACTCAGAAGCATTTTAGGTTGCAAAGGATATAATTAAGACAACAAAATAAACAACTTACTACCAATTTACTGAAAAAATTCTTTTATTAGGGGAATAATTACTAATAGCAAACCTGTTAGAGATTCAGAGGTAGCAAACTTAGAAGGGTAAAATTCTAAAGAAGAATAAAGTGTTCAAATGGAAACAAGGAGAAGTGCATCCCTGACGGACTCCATCAGCTCTAGAGTGTGATTATAGCAACCAAAGCAAAGAAAGTGAATCTCTCATTATCTTAGGATTACACCAACGTGTTATCTGTTAACTAAATAATCTGTGACTACATGCTCATGAATTATAGGGCATTAGAAAGAAATATTAGAACAAGGTCAAGTGCATGAATTACCAAAAACTATCCTTTAACTACAAATCAACAAGCATTTGTCCAATCATTTGTATCACAGAAATTAGACAAGTTCCCAAACTAGTATAAAGTTAAAGAAACAAGTATAATACTATCCTCACAATCCTTTTGTTTAAACATTAATTACCTTAACATATGGATTACTCTGAAGCAAAAATGCAGGAACTTGGAGTGTAAGGTATTCACTTTCCCTCCAGTTTAACATAAAGGCAACACATTCCTCAGCTATAACTTGACGAAGAGGAATATCTAAAAAGCAAAGAGGAAAACAGTTGGAATTACCATCACAACATTAAAATAAGAACAAAGCAAATACTTGCTCAGATTTCAATTGAATTAAAAAAACAGGCTGGGTATGGTGGCTGACACCTGTAATCCCAACACTTTGGGAGGCCAAGGCAGGAGGATCACTTGAGACCAGGAGTTCAAGTCCAGCCTAGGCAACAGAGTGAGACCTTGTCTCAAAAAACAAACAAAATTTTGTAGAGACAGGGTCTCGCTCTGTCAGCAGAATGCAGTGCAATGGTGTGATCATGGCTCACTGCAGCCTTGAGTTCCCAGGCTCAAGCGATCCTTCCACCTCAACTTCCCCAAGTAGCTGGGACTACAGGTCCCACCACACCTGGCTAATGCCACCACACCTGGCTAATTTTTGCATTTTTGTAGAGATGGGGTCTCACTATGTTGTCCAGGCCGGTTTTGAACTCCTGAACTCCAGTGATCTGCCTGCTTCAGCCTCCCAAAGTGCTGGGATTACAGGCATGAGCCACCACACCCAGCCTCCTTATTTTAAATACTGCTTATAAGCACAAGCTATAGGACAAGTTGCTGAACATTTAGTAAGTTAGGAGTTTACAAAAATTATAGGCAGAGTTATCAGTCCTTTACCCTCCCTATCCCCAAAAAAGGGATGTGAACTACAAACTGATAAGCCAAAAAGGTAGTACAAAGAGACTAATAATTTAAAGGAACTTTCACCCATTTCAAACAGTAAAAGCATAGGCTTCGAAGTTGGGCTGATGGAGTGAAGTCATAGCTCTGTCTCTTCCTGTGTGACTGTGGACAAATTCCTCAACCTCTCTGCACCTTGGTTTCTTAGTTACAAAATGGGGATAAGGAAACAGCAGCTATTTCACAGAGCTGCTATGAGGACTAAATGAGTTATGCACCTGAAGCTTAGAACAATGCCTGACACGTAGTTAGCACTCAACAAACATTAAGGTTTAAACATTGCCTCATTTCAGAAAAACCATGCATGGAAAACCTACCTCCCACTTTTAAAAAGTAAACATGTATACAGCAGCATGTGTCCTTTAGTGCCAGCATATTATTAGATCAATTCTCATGAAGACATTACAATATTTAAGAGCACTGATGTGTTAAAGCTCAAAGGCATTCTCTCTATAGGGTACTAAAAAGTTGTGATCTATCACTGCATGCCCCTGCTGGAAATTAGACTTTAATTAGAAATTAAGTTAACCCCATAGGACTCAAGATGGTAGCACTTGCTTCTATTCTGACACATTACTATCACCTTCCTTTATAATGCAATTCCACTGTTTATACTATTAAATGTGTACAGTATGATTTAATTGCTCTAAATACTCCTAAAGCAGAAAAATAAGAAACTGCTTTAACTAAGAAAGATTTATATGAGTCACAGATGATCATCTATATGGTAAGCCCCTTTTCATAGTAAGACATTTACAATTAGAATTAAACACTCAAGATCTGTTCCTAAAGTAGCCACCAGTGAATTTCTAGCCCAATGGCAATCAGTGTGAAGGCATTTTATGGCTGTAATGAGGAAATAAAACTTCAATCTGTATACTAAAGGACATTTTGATTCTTTCAAACACCTGAAAATTGCAATATAGTTTCTCTAGTGTGCAGAAGTATCCCCTAAAATTCATGTGTACCTGGAACCTGAGAATGTGACCTTATTTGGAAATAGTCTTTGCAGATGTAATTAGCTATGATCAAGTCAGCTGGATTAGGGCTGAACCTGGATCCAATGACTGGTGTCCTTATAAGAAGAGAACATGGACATACACAGGGAGAAGGCCATGTGAAGACAGCAGCAGAGACTGGAGCAATGCAGCCACAAACCAAAGACTGCTGGGCCACCAGAAGCCAGGAAGATGCAAGGAAAGAGTCTTTCCTGGAGCCTTTCCGGGCAGTACAGGCCTGCAGACACCCTGACTTCAGACATCCGGCCTCCAGAACTGGGAGATAATATATTTCCATTGTTTTAAGTTACCCAGTTTGTGGTACCTTGTTACAGAAACCCAGAAACGAACAGTTTCCTTCATTTTTCCCAATGTTCTCAAGTGAACACCAAACCCAAATTCTGTTTTAGGAGTGAAATAACTTTTTTCAAAGATGATAAAAATTCAGCTGGGTGTGGTGATTCATGCCTCTAATCCCAGCACTTTGGGGGGGCAAGGAAGGTGGATCACCTGAGGTCAGGAGTTCAAAACCAGCCTGGCCAACATGGTGAAACCCCATCTCTACAAAAATACAAAAATTAGCCGGGCATGATGGCGGGTTCCTGAAATCCCAGCAACTCAGGAGGCTGAGGCAGGAGAGTCACTTTAACCCAAAAGGCAGAGATTGCAGTGGGCCGAGATCGCGCCATTACATGCAGCCTGAGTGACAGAGCCACACTCTTGTCTCAAAAATAAAAAAAAAGATGATTACAAACTCAAATAAATGTGCTTTTAAATTTTCCCCCACAATTATCTAAGTACTGAGTTTCTGAAATTTGTCTTTGTGAACCAGTCTTACCAGGAAGCCTCATTTCCAGATAGCCTCGTACCCTACTTATAAGGTCGGATGGCGGTCTCTCTCCTGCCTGCCCTGTCCCAGCTTCATGTGTATGAATATCCAAAAGCAACATCTCATTCAGCATGACCTGACGAAGCTTTGGTGAGAACTCTGTTACCAACTCCAAACAAGCAGCAAAGAGCTGTTTAGCATGGGAAAAGTCCTATGAAAAGAAAAAGAATAGCCTGGGTCACCTTTCCTTTGGCGCCAAAAAATGTGTGCCTTTATGATGACAGAGCAAAGAGGAGAAGGATTAGTTCAAATGGTTAACGCTGCTTTTCTCAGGGAGTAAGGCTCGATAGGATTTTCATCTCTGTATTGTTGATGTATTCCAATACACATTTAATACCTTTGTAATTTAAAAAAATCCAGTAAACAATATAAAATACCTGCTGTATTATGCAACTTTTATAAAAGTTATAAAATAACCAAAGACTTCTGTATTATACGGGTGTAAAATTCTATTACAAGCACCCTCCTCCATCCAACATATTCAGAATTAGATCTTAGACCATTCAAGGATTACACATTTCAAAATCTTTGCACACCACCTTACTAGCCTATAAAATTGGCTAACAAATAAAATGAAATAAATCAGCTATGATCCAAGTCCTCTCCTACACATCTCTTATGTTTCTAAAGACTAGATTCTATCGCTCCACATACTTCATTCACTCTCATAATCTGGCTTCTACCCCTATCATTACAAAGAAGTAGCCCTCACAAGCCAAAGACCTTTTTTTTTTTTTTTTCCTTTGAGGTGGAGTCTCGCTCTGTCGCCCTGGCTGGGGTGCAGTGGCCGGATCTCAGCTGACTGCACGCTCCGCCTCCCAGGTTTATGCCATTCTCCCGCCTCAGCCTCCTGAGTAGCTGGGACTACAGGCGCCCGCCACCTCGCCCGGCTAGTTTTTTGTAATTTTTAGTAGAGACGGGGTTTCACCGGGTTAGCCAGAATGGTCTCGATCTCCTGACCTCGTGATCCGCCCGTCTCAGCCTCCCAAAGTGCTGGGATTACAGGCTTGAGCCATCGCGCCCGGCCAAGCCAAAGATCTTTTAATTGTCCAATCTACTGAACGCTCTTCTGTTATCTTACAGGAATTAGGGGGCTGCAACTCGGTGCTGTGTATTGCCCTTTTCTTGACATTTTCTTTTCCCCTAGCTATTACACCTTCTACATTTGTCTGGTCCTCACGCCCATCACACTACTATTTCTTGGACTTAGTATTGCATTCCCGAGGGTCTCACGCTCTTTATATTCTCTCTGGGTGATCTTTGGTAACTCCCAAATCTGTAACTCAGTCCAGACCATTCTCCAAGCTTTAGGCTGTTTCCAACTGTAGCTTCAAATTAAAATTGTAAAAATAAACTCGTAATCTGCCCTGCAAAAATGTGTTTCTGCACATTCACTTGCTAGCATTGCCACTGGTTCTCTGACTCTCAAACCAGAAGTCTGAGCATCATGCTCGATTCGTTCTCCTTCTCTTGCCTTCCACATGAAGTCAGTTACCAATTGCTTCCAGATTTTATCTCCTAAATAGTTCTCTAATATGTTCTCTTCTCTCTATCCCTTCTAACACTGGTGACACTAGTTGTGTGCCACTGGACAATTTAATACCTTTAAAACTGAGATAATACCTTCCACAAAGTTTTTGTGAATAAATGAAACAATAAACATATATGAAATTGCAGAACAGTCTTTGTGCCCAGTAAATGTTATTTTAGGTGTGGAAGGAGAAAAGCTGCTAACTACATTCCTCCTATTAAAACTTTTCAATGGCTTACAATTGTCTCATGATGCACTGTCCAATATGGCAGCCACTAGATAAGATGTGGCTATTGAGCATGTGAAATGTGACTAGTCCAAATTGAGAGATTCTGTAAGTATAAAACACTTACTGGATTTTGAAGACTTAGCACATACATTTTCAAAATACAAAACATCTCAACTTTTTATATCAATTACACATTGAAATGATAGTGTAGACATATTGAGTTAAATAAATCATTTCAATCAATTACACTTTTTTATGAAATTATAGATTACACACGTGGCCTACATTATGTTTCCACTGACAATGATGGTCTACAGCAGCAGTTTTCAAACTTTAGCATGCAACAGAATTACTTGAGGGCTTATTTAAAAAGATGTTGGGCCCCATCCCAGAATTTCTGATTCATTAGGTCTAGGATGCGGCCCCCAAATTTTTATTCCAGCAAGTTCCAGCCATGTGCAGTGGTTCATGCCTGTAATGTCAGCACTTTGGGAGGCTGATGTGGAAGGATTGTTTGAGCCCAGGAGTTCAAGGTCAGCCTGGGCAATATAAGGAGACGCTGCCCCTGAAAAAAAAAAAAAAAAAAATTCTTTCAAATAAGCTGGGCATGGTGGCACATGCCTGTGGTCCCAGCTACTTAGGGGGCTGAGGTGGGAGGATTGCTTGAGCCAAGGAAGTCCAGGCTGCAGTGATTATGCCACTGCACCTGGTCTGGGCGACAAAGCAACACCCTGTCTCAAACAAAAAGTTCCCAAATGTCACAGATGCTGCTGGTGTGGGGACGTAGTTAACTTATTTAAGCCTCAATTTTAGTTCACTTCTGCCTTCCAGATGCTGTCTTTAACCTTCCTAAAGAACTCAGTGTATGATCAGTCACGCAACTGCACTGTCTTATATGATTTAACATTACACTTAAGTCTCAGCATCCCAGACTACAAACTCATGTAAAATACACTACAGAAGTAATTTTTAAAAATTTTGTTTTCTAATCTTGGTACACAATCTTTACTAGCTGAATCCTAAAGAATACAAATAATATCTTTGCATGTTCTCTAAACTTTTAGCACAGAGCAGTATTCATTTGATCAAGACTATTTTAGTATAATTATAACAGTAAAGGAAAGAGAACAAACCAAAATGCCTTTTCAAATATCCTTTTAAGCCTATGACTGTGATTTTAAAGATTAGGAAAAGGTAAGTTCTGGTTCCTGACTTCCTGCTAAAATTAGTAAAGCATATTCTTTTTTTTTTTTTTTTTTTTTTTTTGAGATGGACTATCACTCTGTCACCCAGGTTGGAGTGCAGTGATGCAATCTCAGCTCACTCCAACCTCCACCTCCCATGAGATTCTCCTGCCTCAAACTCCAGAGTAGCTGAGATTACAGGCACCGACCTAATTTTTGCATTTTTAGTAGAGACAAGGTTTCAACATGTTGGCCAGGCTGGTCCTGACCTCAGTCGATCTATCCACCTCAGTCTCCCAAAGTGCTGGGATTATAGGTGTGAGCCACGGCACCTGGCCATAAAGCATATTCTTAACAAGTGTTTGATACACACTTTTACTCACCTTAACAGTACTGCAGTGCAAACCTTTGGCCATAAGAATATAAACCAAATCTCTTGTTAAATTGTCTTTAATTCCCAGGATAACACCACTATACACAGAAGGTACTTCCCACTAAAAGAAACAAAAAATACATACATACATATATATATATACACACACACACACACACAGAGAAAGCCAAATCTGGATAAGAATCTTTCAATAGTCTTCAATCGCATTAAAAAAAAATAATTCACAGGTTGTCTCTTAAAGAGAAAGGAAAATCACAGCCATAATATAACACTAATGAAAATGAACACATTCACTACAATCAACAAGTAATAAATAATGGATTGGGATTACTATTAGGAAAAAAAGACAAAGACTAGGAGTTTTATATATATTAATTCAGGTAATCCTCACAACAATACCAAGGTAAGTACTATTATGCTACTACTGTCATTTTGCAAATGAGAAAACTACAACACAAACAAGTTAAATAACTTGTTCAAGATTATACGGCTATTTAAGTATGAGCTGGCATTCAAGCTCAAGCAGGCAGTTAGTCCCAGAATCCCCTATCATAACTATTATGCTATACTTGTTCATCTTAAAAATTTTTGGTTTTTGATTTTTGAGATAGTCTTGCTCCATCACCCAGGCTGGAGTGCAGTGGCGTGATCTCTGCTCACTGCAACCTCTGTCTCCCAGGTTTGAGTGATTCTCCTGCCTCATCCTCCCAAGTAGCTGGAAATACAGGTGCACGCCACCATGACCGGCTAATTTTTGTATTTTTAGTAGAGACGGGGTTTTGCTATGTTGGCTAGGCTGGTCTTGAACTCCTGGCCTCAAGTGATCCACCCACCTCAGCTCCCCAAAGTACTGGGATTACAGGCATGAGCCACTGCACCTGGCCTTCATCTTAAAAATTCACACTAACAAATAGCATCAATACTAAAAAAAAAACCCCAACTAATTTTTAGAGCAATTTTTTTCTTTTCACGCTACTTGTATGTTTAAACCCAATTTTTAAAAATACAGGTCGGGCGCAGTGGCTCATACCTATAATCCCAGCACTTTGAGAGGATGAGGCAGGCGGGTCACCTGAGGTCAGGAGGTCAGGAGTTTGAGACCAGCCTGACCAACATGGAGAACAACATGGAGAAACCTGTCTCTACTAAAAATACAAAACTAGTCAGGTGTGGTGGGGCAAGCCTGTAATCCCAGCTACTCGGAAGGCTGAGGCAGGAGAACTGCTTGAACCCGGGAGGCAGAGGTTGCAGTGTGCCAAGATCACGTCACTGCACTCTAACCTGGGCAACAATAATGAAACTCTGCCCCCCCCAAAAAAAAACCCATACATTTCTGGCTGCCTTTTTACTACATCTTCAGCAGAGGAAGAGTAAGTACGGAGTTAATTAGGAGCATTACGATATTGCTTTACTTTCTACTGTATCTGTAGATTACTTCCCTTGTATCTCTAAGCTACATTCCACTGACATGGCATGTTAAAAGCTATTTTCATTTGCACTTTCTATGCAGGAAAACTTTCTAATAGATAAACTCAGAAACAGGTAAATGTATTAGCTGGAAATTTTTAAAGGAACATTTAAAGTCAAAAATGCTCCATGATGAAGTATTATGCTACAGAATGCATAAATAATATACCAGTTACATATATTTACAACTATTTTTAAAATGCAGCCAGGCGTGGTGGCTCACACCTGTAATCCCAACACTTGGGGAGGCAGAGGTGGGTAGATCACTTGTGGTCAGGAACTCAAGACCATCCTAGGCAACATGGTGAAACCCCATCTCTACTAAAAATACAAAAATTAGCCGGGCATGGTGACAGATGCCTGTAATCCCAGCTACCTGGGAGGCTGAAGCAGGAGAATCACTTGAATCTGGGAGGCAGAGGTTGCAGTGAACCAAGATCGTACCACTGCACTCCAGCCTGAGCGACAGAGTGAGATTCCATCTCAAAAAATAAATAAATAAATGAAATAAAATGCATATATTTTGTCAATAAATGGAAAAACTGATTTTTAGATGTTATTCATTCAATGGTATCTTTTTGTTTCTGACATTTCCTATTTTCTGTCAATGGATGTTAAAAATGCAATTATGGTCATATGAAGGTCTTAAAAGTGTTAAGTAAAAGAGGTCCTTATTATCAAAAAGGTTAGGGAACAGCTTTTCTATTAAATTACCTCAGAAAACAAGGGCAATTTTCTTATTTGTTCCTTGACATAGGGTTTACCTTATTAGACACTGTCCAGAATTGGCGCTCTGAAGTCATACCATGTAATTCAATCAAAATTTGTCTAATCCTCCAAGGATCCACTGATAGTATCAGTTGATGCTCTAACTGACCAATGTTGACACTTGCTGAAGCTAAAAAAAGATTTATATTTCAGTGATTTAATTCAAAGATATACATATGAGAATGAAAATTTACTTAAAATTATGTATTCTATATTACATCTATAAATTAAAAGTTGCTATCATCTTGAGAACTGATTCAACATTGTGTAAATTACATATTAACTTTATCCTCACATAGAAAACCTAACACAATTTTACTATATCTACATGTAATAAATGAATGCGTTTTAAAAATAAAGATAATGAAAATATAAACAAGATAAAATCAATATTTATTCATGCAAAGAACTATGTGGAATATATGAAAATAATTAACTTATACACACTTATACACTACTTAACTTATACACTACTTTTGAACATAATGTGTTAACAAAAGCATATATAAAATGTTAATTTTGAGTAATAAACATTAAGCATGTGGTTTTTGAGAGAAAGGGGCATGCACTTCCCAGAGAACCAAAAATGATTACCAAAATACCTAATTACAGCTCAGCTATCAGGCACAGTCTTCAATAATGCATTTCCAGCATTTCTGTATGTGTTAACCTTACCCTTTTCCTTTATAACTGGACATTCAACCAGTTTAAATCTAGTGAAGGTCAAAGAAACTAAAATTTTGCTTTTGTTAAACTGAATTCTCTCTCATCTATATTAAATGTTGAAGTGTATGTTTCTTATTTAAAAATAGCATTGTTATTTTCTACTTACATTTGTAAGGGCAAAAACGGGAAAAAAAATCAAATAAATAAGGCAAAAATGCCAATACTGACAAAAATGTTCAGCCAGCAGATACTAGCACAGTGATACAGACTGACATGCACGAAAGTCTGTCGTCTTTTTGGTCCCAGCATCTCTCACCACTCCTCTCCCCCTCCTTTTTTTTTTTTTTTTTTTTTTTACCTCCATGAACATATTGGCAGCAGTGTTACCTTGGTCTATTTCCCCAGCTAAAATCTTTTATGTATCTAGGCCTGAATCTGCACTAATCATTGGCTTGGCAGAGCTCCAGAGCATAGCTGCTTATACAGAAATCTGATATGGAAGACAGGTGAATTTCTATTAATTACCAACACAAGTGTTAATTAAAACAAATAAGAGAGAATCCTCAAATATATTTCAATGTTAATTTGAATAGAGGGGCAAAACATGCCAATATTTTGGCTGGCAGACTAGAGAGCTAACCTGGGATATCATAAAATGAAGTTACAGGTTTAATGCACAGATTTACTCTAGGGGATCTCTTCCTCATCTGATCAACAAGTAGCTTTCGTTCTTCATCTTTCAACAATGTAATGAAAAGCTCATGTGAAGAAATCATGAAAACATACTGCAGATCTTCCAACCCCAGACACACATTCCTAGATCAGTAAGAAATATTGTGAAACAAAACAGTGTATAATTTAGTTTGAGAAAAACAATCATATCAACCAATTTTAATAAGCTATTTAAAAAGTCACCATTAAAGAAGCTGTATAACGATATTTTAAAATAGATTTTAAAATTTCCTTTTGGTCCTTATTTAAAATTGTGATGTCAATGCCACAATATTAAAAAAAGGTAACTATATAATCCTAACGTCTCACGTGGCTATACAAATTTGAACTTAATGGGTTCTCAAACACCAGTTACTCCTTGGTTAAAAGATACCCAAGACAAAAACAAATATAATACAGATATTTTTTTCACAGGACTAAGTTCAAAGTTAAAAAAAGAAAGAAAGAAAGAAAGAAAAAAATGAAAGATACTTACTTCAGAAAAGCAGCCATGTTTCCTTTCAAAGACTCTGAAGCTTTTTCTAAATTTATTGATCTTGAACATACCTAGGAATTTGAGTAATTTTCATTTGAATATGGGTACTTTTAAAAATGTAAATTATAATTTGAAAAGGCAGGATTTAAAAACAACTGAATTTTCCTTTTTCAACCATGTACCAGTCACAGATTTGGTTAAGTAACTTAACAGAAGAGATGAGACCAACGAATAAGAACCCATCAAAAAGAGGGAACGGAATGTGACCATTTTAATAAGTACAGGTGTATACAAGTACCAAACAATAACCTAGTTACCATGCTCTACAGTTCTCACAGAATTTATCAAGTATGTTGCCAAATTATATTAAGTGATAAACCACAGAAATCAGTAGCTCCTGTCAGAAAAGAGTTAAAAAAATTAAAAAAAGTTAAAACCAAAAAGAAAATAATTGAAAAGAAAAACTGATTTATCACAAATATAGAACTAATGGTTCTATATTCATGAGCTATTCATGAATAGTTTAAAAAGGTAACCAAGGTTTAAAAAGTAAACAATGCCAACAAAGAATAGACACTAGTTATAGTTACATTAGTTATCTACAAATAATATTTTCATATTATTTTGAATTTATTCATTAGATTAGGATTCCTCCCCATATACTATTTATAAGAAGCCAAAATAAAATATAACTAGCATAAAAGTCCATAATCTCAAGACATTGCTAAATATTTTCTACGTTGACACACACAAAAAATAGAATGTTCATAGTAGTATTAATCACAGTAGCCAAAAAGTAGAAACTGATGAATGAACACACAAATACAGTATATATCCATTCAATGAAGTACTATTCAGCCATAAAAAATGAAGTACTGATACACTCTACAATATTGAAAACATGCTAAGTGAAGGAAGCCAGTTACAAAAGATCATCTATTTCATAGTTCCATTTACACAAAATATCCAGAACAGATAAATCTATAGAGATAGAAAGTAGATTAGTAGTTGCCTCAGGTGCTGCGAGATTGAGAGAAAATGAAGAGTGACAGGTAATGAATAAGAGATTATTTTTCTGGGGTGAAAACAGGACGTGAAGTGATAGTTGCCCAACTCTAGGAATATACTAAAACCCACTGACTTACACACTTTAAATGTGTGAACTGTATGGTATGTGAATTATATCTTGATGAAACTGTTATTAAAAAAAACAGGCTGGGTGCGCATGCCTCTAATCCCAGCACTTTAGGAGGTCAAGAGTTTGAGACCAGCCTGGCCAACATGGTGAAACCTTGTCTCTACTAAAAATATGAAAAAAATTACGTGGATGTGGTGGCGCACACCTGTAGTCCCAGCTACTCGGGGAGGCAGAGGCAGGAGTATCACTTCAACTCAGGAGGCAGAGGTTGCAGTGAGCCGAGATCAGGCCACTGTACTCCAGCCTGGGCAACAGAGAAAGACACTCTCTCAAAAAAAAAAAAAAAAAAAAAAAAAAAAAAAAAAAAAGGCAGTGTTTTAAAAGTACTGTGTTCAAATACCATTCTCTGATTAACAAATTAACCTATCAGTAAATAATATCTGAGCATCTTGGAGTATGTATTATACACTTACATTCTAATAATTTTGCTCCTTTGCTGCCATATGTAAATATATTATGGTAAGTAATAAATGATATCTGAGTCTCCTTTTACAACAGATTATTTACTCACATAGTGAGATGCATTGTACATGTGTCATGGAACAATGTAGGGAACATGGGTTAACTTCTGATTAGGAAACCTAACAATATAAAGAAAATGAAGTAGGGCATGGTGGCTCATGCCTGTAATCACAGCGCTTTGGGAAGCCGAGGTGGGTGGATCACCTGAGCTAACAGATCATGTTATGTGAATGTCACACACCTCAATTTTAAAAAAGAAAAATTCACACTAGTGGGCATCTCAGTAGATGCTTTAATATTAAAATAATAAAGTTTAATACTAATAAACAAGATGAAATGGACAAATCCTTAGAAAGTAACTTTTAAAACTAACTCTAGAAAAATGAGAATACAGCTCTAGGATCACTGATCAAAAATCTTCCCACAAAAAAATTACCCAGGCCCAGACTTTACTGGTAAATTCTACCCAACACTGAAAGAGCAATGACTTCATTTTTACACAGACTCTTCCAGACAACAAAAAAGACAGACACCTCAACTTATTCATAAGGCAAGCATGACCTTGACACCAAAATCAAAGGCAGGACAAGAAAAAAAGAAATTTGTGCATTGCCGGGTGTGGTGGCTCACACCTGTAATCCTAGCACTTTGGGAGGCAGAGGTGGGAGGATCACTTGAGGTCAGGAGTTTGAAACCAGCCTCGCCAACATGGTAAAACCACGTCTCTATTAAAAACATAAAAAAATTAGCTGGGCATGGTGGTGGGTGCCTGCAATCTCAGCTACTCTGGAGGCTGAGGCAGGATAATCACTTGAACCTGGCGAAGGAAGTTGCAGTGAGCCGAAATCACACCACTGCACTCCAGTCTGGGCGACAGAGTGAGACTCCATCTCAAAAAATAAAAAATAAAAAAATAAAAATATGTGCATCAATCTCACACATGAATGTAGAAAAAAAAATCTTCATATATTGGCAAACCAAGTTCAGCAATTTCTATTAAAAAAAGATCATGACCTAGTTGGGTCTATTCCCGACATGCAAAGGTGGTTTAACACTTGAAAATCAATTATACTTTATCACATGAACAGGTAAGGAGAGAAATTATGTGATCACTTCAATAGACATAGAAAAAATATTTAATACGATCTACAAATAATTCATTATTTTAAAAACAGGACCTTCAGTGAACTAAGGAGAGAAGGGAACTTCCTTAATCAGATAAGGAATAGCTACAAGAAAAACCTACAATAAACATCATTCTAAATGGTGAAATAGTGCTTTTCCCCCTGAGACTGGGAGTGAGATGAGGCAGTTCACTATTCCCACTTCTACTGAACACTGTACTGGAGGTAATAGCCAGCACATTAAGAATAAGTAAAAAGAGGCCGGGCGCGGTGGCTCACACCGGTAACCCCAGTACTCTGTGAGGCCGAGGCGGGTGGATCACCTGGGGTCGGGAGTTTGAGACCTGCCTGACCAACATGGAGAAACCCATCTCTACCAAAAATACAAAATTAGCCGGGCGTGGTGGCGCATGCCTGTAGTCCCAGCTACTCAGGAGGCTGAGGCAGGAGAATCACTTGAACCTGGGATGCAGAGGTTGCGCTGAGCAGATACCGCATCATTGCACTCCAATCTGGGCAACAAGAAAGAAACTCTGTCTCAAAAAACAAAAAGTAAAAATAAATCAAAATTAAAAGGTTAGAAAAGGAATAAACAAAATGCATTCTTCACAGATGACTGCATACATAGAAAAATGAAAAAAATATGGATAAAACAGAATTTTTAGAAGCTAAGCAAAGTTGTTGGATATAAAATTATTAGAAAGTTAAATTATACCTCTGCATCAATGCATAAACTATTTTCAAGTCTACATTTTAAGAATATAAAAATTTCAGACTCCTATGGAAAAATTAGAAAGTTCTAAAGGATACTAAAAACTACCTAAAGAAATCAAGAGCCCTCATACCCATTCACGGGTTAGGACACCCAATAATGTAAAGATGTAAATTATTGGGGGTCTCCCTAAGCATACTTTGGCTTGGGAGGCTGCCCATAAAATTTTTTCTAATATAAAAAAGAAGCTTAAAAAAAGAGAGACATAATTTCTTTCTAAACTGGTTTCTAAATTTAATGTAATTCCAAACAAAAATACAACAGATTTGTGGAACTTGACAATCTGAGTCTAATGTTTACACATAAAAAGGCAAAGGACTGCCGGGCGTGGTAGCTCATGCCTGTAATCCCAGCACTTTGGGAGGCCGACACGGGCAGGTCACGAGGTCAGGAGTTTGAGACCAGCCTGGCCAATATGATGAAATCCTGTCTCTACTAAAAACACAAAAATAAGCCGGGCATGGTGGCGCGTGCCTGTAATCCCAGCTACTTGGGAGGCTGACGCAGAAGAATCGCTTGAACCCAGGAGGCAGAGGTTGCAGTGAGCTGAGATCATGCCACTGCACTCCAGCCTGGGCAACAGAATGAGGGCCAAGAATAACCAACACAACCTTAAAAAAAAGGGTAGAACTTGCTCTCAATGGTATCAGGATGTGGACATAATGAGGTATGGATAGACAAATAGAAAAGTGGTATAAAATGGCTCAGAAATAGGCCCATACATATATAAACACCCGGCATACAATAAAGGCCCTAGAGATTGGTGGAAAAAGATTAACCTTTCAGTAAATGGTGCTGGAACACTTCCTACTTCACACAAAAATCAACTCTAGGTTGATTAAAGATGTAAATGTGAAAGGAAGGCTATGCTATAAAGCTTTTAGAAGATATAATAGAAGAATATCTTCATGACATGATAGGAAAAAGCTTTCTTAAGCAACACACAAATCACTATAATGGAAAAAAATTGGTAAATTTGATATTCAATTTAGGAGCTTTGGAACAATATAAAGAAAATTAAGCTGGGCATGGTGGCTCATGCCTGTAATCACAGCACTTTGGGAAGTTGAGGTGGGCGGATCACCTGAGCTCAGCAGTTCAAGACCAGCCTGGCCAACATGATCAAACCCCATATATACCAATAATAAAAAAATTAGCCAGGAGTGGAGGCACTTGACTGTAGTCCCAGCTACTCAGGAGGCTGAGGTGGGAGGATGGCTTGAATCCAGGAGGTGGAGGTTACAGTGAGCTGATATCACATCACTGCACTCCAACCTGGGTGAGAGAGTGAGACCCATCTCAAAAAAAAAAACGAAAAAGAAAAGTCAAACTCAGTGAAGACATCTGCAATATTTAAAATTGGTTAAAAAAAAAAAGTATACAGATCTCCTACAAAAATAAAGCTCCTTCCAAAAAACAGACGGACAATGTAACAGAAAAATGAGGCGTAACACGGCCGGGAACGGCTCATGCCTGTAATCCCAGGACTTTGGGAGGCCAAGGTGGGCGGATCACTTGAGGTCAGGAGTTCAAGACCAGCCTGACCAAAATGGCAAAACCCCTTCTCTACTAAATATACAAAAATTAGCTGGGCGTGGTGGTGGGCGCCTGTAATCCCAGCTACCCTGGAGGCTGAGGCCAGAGAATCACTTGAAACTGGGAGGTGGAGCTTGTAGTGAGCTGAGATTGTACCACTGCACTCCAGCCTGGGCGAACTCCAGCCAGGCGCAGTGGCTCACACCTGTAATCCTATCACTTCGGGAGGCCAAGACAAGCGGATAACCTGAGGTCAGGAGTTTGAGACCAGCCAGGCCAACATGGCAAAACCCTTTCTCTACTAAAAATATAAAAATTAGCCAGGCATGTTAGCACACACCTGTAGTACCAGCTACTCAGGAGGCTGAGACAGGAGAATCGCTTGAACCTGGGAGGCGGAGGTTGCAGTGAGCCGAGATTGTGCCACTGCACTCCAGCCTGGCCAGGCAACAGAGGGGGTGCCATCTCAAAAAAATAAAAATAAAAAAGCAGAACTCCATCTCAAAAAAAAAAGAGGCATAACACTTGGAAAAGGTACCTCAAAAAACAAAATCCATGAGTAAAAATTAAATGAAGAGTTGTAGAAATGAAAACCTCAATGAGATACTGTTATACAACCACCTCACAGGCAATCTGACAATATCAAATGTTAACAAGGATATTGACCAATGAGAACACTCAGCCATCCTGGTGGTATAAGCCACTTGGTTTTTAAAAATTAATGTTGCAGATGTATTTTTCCCTAGGTATATAACATAAACTGGTACATATGCACACCTAGATATATGTACAAGTATGTTCCAAGCAACAAAAACTACAAACAAATGTCCCTCATCATATGTGTATATAGCCAAAAACTATAAAAAACACAAATGTCCCCCATCATAAGACTGAAGAAATTGTGACGTAGTCCATAAAATATTCTACCTTTTTTTTTTTTTGGAGATGGAGTCTCTCACTGTCGCCCAGGCTGGAGTACAGTGGCACGATCTCCGCTCACTGAAACCTCTGCCTCCTGGGTTCAAGCGAGTCTCCTGCCTCAGCCTCCCGAGGAGCTGGGATTACAGGGGACTGCCAGCACGCTTGGCTAATTTTTTGTATTTTTAGTAGAGACAGGGTTTCACTATGTTAACCGGGCTGGTCTTGAACCCCTGACCTCATGATCCACTCGCCTCAGCCTCCCAAAGTGCTGAGATTACAGGCGTGAGTCACTGTGCCCACCCTCTTAAAGCAATGAAAAAATTGTTATTTATATACAACTTGAATAAATCTCACAAATCTCTTCAGTGAAAGAAGATGAAGAATACATATGGTATGATTCCATTTATATGAAGTTCAAAATAGGCAAATTAAAGAATGTTCTTTAAGGATGCATACAGAGGTGATACAACTATAAAAGCAAGGAAGAAAATTATGATCACAAAAGCCGGGGGAGTGGCTACCTCGAGGGAAGGTAGAGGAGGTTGTAAAGACCACAGCAAAGGCTTCTAAAGTGCTGGCAACGTATTTTTGGAAGTGGTATTAGAAGTGGTATTATCTGCGCTTTATGTATTATCTCAATGTCTGTAACATTAAGACTGTTAAGAAAGGAGTGATCCAGTAGAAACACAGATTCCACAGCACACATGACACACTAGAGGTTTGATTTGGGAGTTCTTAGTAAACAGGTGATGAAACAGATGAGTGAAGCTTTGGAATTAAATCAAAAATGATGAGTGAGCCAAGGACAAAAGTTTCATGAAAAGAAATACTAAAGGAAGAGCAATAGAGAAGTCAGTGAAGGACTAAGCAGAATCCAATGAAGATGCTGAAGAAACATGGGGGAGAACTAGAAAAAGAACTACAGCAGAAGACCAGGCAGAAGGGCAGAGTCTGTCAAAAGTGCCAACTGTCAGGAACAGAAAGGCAAGGCAGACAGGAAAAAAGGAACTGGATTTGGCAATTAAGAGGTCACTGGTAAGCTTAAAGCAAATTATAAATCAAAAGGGGAAAGAAAAACATGTCATACCTCAAGAAGAAAGTCTATTTTCTCTTTATTTGGTCTAAGAAATAGTTGGTTAAATTGAACACTAATTGTTCTGCCTTCCAGTATATCACGAACTGTATTACAGGCACAAACTTTAAAACAGATTTCATCTAGAGCTTCATTTCTGTAGAATACAAAAGTAGATCAACTAATGTTATTTTTACTACAAAAGAAAGGTGTATATTACAAAATTATATTCACAAGAATAAGCCATTTGTTCTTGAGAGGTAAAATTTTAGAACATTCAAGCGTACTAATAAATATATAACAAATCACGGGGAGAAAGGAAGCAGAATAGGTTTTGAATTTATCAAGGGACAACTTAGCTACACATCAGACAACAGAATGAAATTTTGCTATGTATTATTTTTCCCCCAAGCACTTTTTTTTTTTTTTTGAGACAGAATCTTGCTTTGTCACCCAGGCTGGAGTACAGTGGCGCAATCTCGGCTCACGGCAACCTCCACCTCCTGGGTTCAAGTGATTCTCGTGCCTCAGCCTCCTGAGTGGCTGGGACTACAGGTGTGCACCACCATGCCCAGCTAATTTTTGTATTTTTGGTAGAAACGTGGTTTCACCATGTTGGCCAGACTAGTCTCAAACTCCTGACCTCAAGTGATCCACCCACCTCAGCCTCTCAAAGTGCTGGGATTACAGGCATGAGCCACTGTGCCTGGCCCCACAAGCACTATTTAAAACAGACTATATTAATTTTCCTTATATTAACAACATGAAAATAATATCACAGAGCCATAGGTAATTTGAAGATGTGGTTTTGATAAACCAGAACGCACTTGCTGTTCTATTCAAAAATCAAAAAGTAACTTTTCAACTTACCCCTGTTGAGCTTTCTGAAAGAGTTCTCTTAGGACTGATTGTCGGAACTGGACAGGTAAACTCAAGGTTAAGTTGTCTTCAATGAAAATCTGTATTACCTCCTAGAACACATACATAAAGTTGCACCCATTTCAAAAATCACGGTAAAGTTTTTTACTTTAAACAAGTCTTTGTATAATGGAAAATACAAGTTGAAAAAATCACAAAAATATCTTACTATGAAAACCTTTTCTTCCTAAAATTTTAAAATTTGATTAAGGGCAAAAACAGCCCTGCTACCCCTTTTTTAAAACTGAAGATCACAAACCAAACATAAGAGGTAAGAAAGGAATCATTCAATAAGAGGCAATCCAGCTATGTTATTAGAAAAAAATTTTAGGCCAGGTGTGGTGGCTCATGCCTGTAATCCCAGCACTCTGGGAGGCCAAGGCAGGTGGATCATGAGGTCAGGAATTTAAGACCAGCCTGGCCAACATGGTGAAACTCCGTCTCTACTAAAAATACAAAAATTAGCCGGGTGTCGTGGTGCATGCATGTAATCCCAGCTACTGGAGAGGCTGAGGAAGGAGAATCACTTGAACTCAGGAGGCGGAGGTTGCTTTGAGCCAAGATGGCACCATTGCACTCCAGCCTGGTCGACAGAGCGATACTCTATCTCAAAAAAAAAAAAAAAAAGTTAATACTCTAAACATAAGTTCATAAAACAAACTAAAAAACACTAATTATATGGCCAGACATGGCGGTTCATGCCTGTAATCTCAGCACTTTGGGAGGCCAAGGCAGGTGAATCACAAGGTCAGGAATTCAAGACCAACCTGACCAAGATGGTGAAACTCTGTCTCTACTAAAAACTACAAAAATTAGCCAGGCACGGTGGCAGGCACTTGTAATCCCAGCTACTTGGGAGGCTGAGACAGGAGAATCGCTTGAACCTGGGCAACAGAGATTTCAGTGAACCAAGATCACGCCACTGCACTCCAGCCTGGGTGACAGAGTGAGACTCTGTCTCAAAACAAACAAACAAACAAACAAACCAAAAAACTAATTAAAAAATTCAGCTGAAAAAACATGCTAAGAAGTGATTCTAATAAATTTAAATGATTTAAAATATATTATCTGTGAACTACAAAAAATACCCACATTATAACATACAGACTTTTTCTTAGCTACTTCTCAAGAAGGGAAGAGCAGAAAAGAAAGAAAGGGTGTTGGTGAGAGAAGGGGGAAAGGAGATTTCTGAAAACGAAACTAATCAGCCACTACCAGAAAAGTACTGACATAAGTGGTTTCGAAACTGTGGAGCAACCACTAGCTTCACCTCCATAACAAAACACGAGCAAGGCAGGGCTCCACAGGAGCAATACAGCAGCTTCGCAAGTGTGAGAAAACACACCTGTTATAGCTGCTCAACTACTACTTCATCAGCACTAAACAAAACCCACAGAGTTCATAAAAACACAATCCCATTCCAAGAAATAGTTTCTACCATACTCCTGAATGTATAAGTGATGAATCTCAAAGATGCAACAAAATTGCTATTTTCCCCTTCTTAGCTACCCATTACACTATTTTCTGATTTTCGTATTTTGGAACTTTATTAAAGTCACAGTAACATGTGCTTTTCTCTGGGTGATATTCCTAAGGTCTTGCTGGCATAAGTCTTACCACTCCAGTGAGGACTTTTTGTTTTTGAGGCAGGGTCTTGCTCTGTCACCCAAGCTGCAGTGTAGCAGTGCTATCATAGATCACTGCAACCTTGAACTCCTGGGCTCAAGCGATCCTCCCACCTTGGCCTCCCAAGTGCTGGGATTACAGGTGTGAGCCACCACGTCCAGTCAACTTGTTAAATAATCTGTATTTTACGATAATTGATCTCACCCTTCATAAACCTTTACTAGGGAGATGTAACTGAAAGACCTCTAGCCTTTATTAAGTTCACTTGTATCGGTAATTAAACTTTAAGAAAGTCTAATTTTCCTTCCTAGGACAAAGCAATACTTTTAAAAAGGGCCAAAGACAGAGGAAAGAAGTGCCATTTTGATTCCTGTCTTCATCTATTTTCTGTGAAAAACAAAAAAACCCTAGGTAAGAGAACTATAAAGCTGGAATAATACCCAATGGAGACACAAAACTAAAAGTAAGTTATGGCTTTATCATTTCATGATTCCTATTTTGAGTTAAACATGAATGAATGCACTGTTTATTCTCTAGAATGGAGGCTTTCCAATAAAGACTTTAAAAGTACAATTCTAATTCCCAGTTATTTTCATAACAAAACTGAAGATAAACACCCAGAGGTGTGGGGGGGTGGGGGGAGGGGGTGTCAATAAAAGTCTGAAGAGACTCATTAAGGCCTTTTCATGAACCAAACCAAGATGGTGAGCAGGCTCAAGAGCAGGTGGGCTCTGTTTTTGTTAACAGACCATCCAAACCCACCAGAAAAACTGCCGTGTTCACTGTGCTCCCTTGCTCCTTCAGTCTTAATATTTGGAAGGGCTAATAAAGCTGGACTACAAGCCACATGTCCAAAAGACACAAGACTTAATGTTTTGTAAAACTAAAAGCTATTAATATCTTAGCAGCCAACAATTCCAGCTGCAAACAAATGCACACACAACTAAAAGCTGTCTACCTGCAATTTTTAAATGTTAAAAGTTCTGCTTACAAGCATTTCTTACAAAATTTATTTAAAATAGGTCAACTCTATACCTTTAAGATAACAGCAATGATGAAGTAACATCTGTAGAATGCTTTGCCTTAGAATTTATGAACTATAACTTCTCACTAGATTCTCCTAAGAATCTTAGGAAATGGGATAATTATTACCATTATGTTACAGGCCAGTCTTGACAGTGTAAATGACTTGCCCCAAAACGCATAACTGGTAAATGGGTGGGGCGAGGATTTGAACTTAGTTTTGTCTGGCTTCCAAAACTTCACTGCATCCTCCTCATACATCTTACCTGATAGTTGCCAGATCTCAAACAAATATGGACTTGGCTATATGGAGTCAACTGTTGAGATGTACTGTCAGAAGAAGGTACAAGAACATCACATGCTTGACAATAGCCAGCTAACCGCTTCTCATCTATGGTACAATGAAGAGACAATGAACCTATCTGTAAAGTAAGAGGTATACACCATTATCCATTCATGTAATATAAACAATAGTCTAGCACCCCCTTAGCATATTTTAACAGTACAAGGAAATGCTAATGAAAAATTCAAGCCAGGCTGGGCACAGTGGCTCACGCCTGTAATCCCAGCACTTCGGGAGGTCAAGGCTGGTGGATCACCAGGAGTTCGAGACCAGCCTGGCCAACATGGTGAAACCCTGTCTCTACTAAAAATACAAAAATTAGCCAGGCGTGGTGGCAGGCACCTGTAGGCCCAGCTACTCCAGAGGCTGAGGCAGGAGAATCGCTTGAGCCTGGGTGGTGGAGGTTGCAGTGAGCCAAGATGGCGCCACTGCACTCCAGCCTGGGTGACAAAGCAAGACTCCATCTCAGAAAAAAAAAAAAAAAGAAGAAGAAAAATTTAAAACTGGAGGAATCAAAAAGCAAAAGGTTAAAGGTTTAGAACAGGGGTCAAAAACTATTGCTCATAGGCCAAATCCAGCCTATGGTCTGTTTTTGTCTGTCTCTTGGGCTGTAAACTATGCAAAGGGGACAAAAAAATAGTAAGAATATGCACTAGAGACTGAATGTGGCCCAGAAAGCCTAGAATATTTGCTAACTGAATATTTGCTAACTGCCCCTTTACAAAGAAAGTTTGCTGAAGCTTAGAGTTTTCAGGCCAACATACAAAAGGTGGCCATGATTATCATACCAAGTAGGTATGACAAGACATTAACAAAGAGTGTTAACATTAAAAACAAGCTTAAAGGTTTTAAAAGACATATACCAGCAGAGATTTAAAGGAGAGAGCAAAGAAAGCATAATCATCACTCAATTGGGAAGAACAGAAATGCTTCTACCCAAACAGGATTTAAAAAAAAAAGTTTGAAAAAATATGTAAGTTTTAAATTACTATACCTGAAATGCCGTAAAATTAGAAACCAGATGAATTTCCTAGGCAAAGTAAAATGGGGATTTCTAACAGGTCTATCTAGAATAGCTAGAGTACTTAAACCTCTAGGGTATTTAATCAATATCTCTACTAAGAATAGCAGATTGAAGTGGGAATTTTCCCAGGCACCAGGTATACAAAAACCTAGTTATATATATATACTTTACAATTCAGTCATCTGAATCATAAAAAGAAAAATGCAAATGAAAAACACAGTAAAAATGTTTACCCATATTAGGAATTAATGAAAGGCAAGTTTATAAAAGATACTGTATTTCACGCATCAAGTTAGCAAAAAAAAAAAAAAATTTGTTAAAAACTCACTGCTAACTGAAGTGCCCTATGAGAAATTTACCTGGAAAGTAATTTGGTTTAATAAATTATAGACTCAGAAAAATAAATAACCATTGACATGGTAATAACTGTAGGAACTTAAACGTATCTGAAATCTGAAGAAAAATTTAGGCTTCAAGATACAAATATTGCAGCTATATAATAAACAACCTAAATGCCCAAACATAAGGGAAATTAGGTAAATCAGAGTACTTCCCCATAACATGATACATTTATAATGCCTAGTCAAAGATTTAAGCAAGATACAGAGTATTTACAATATGAGCTTAACTGTACAAAAACAGAGAGAAAAAAAACTGGAAGAAAATTTACTAGATTTGTAAAAGGGGTTATATTTCCAGATTATATTATTACAGATTTTTAAAAACCAGTTTTAGTACTTTCTTGAACTTCACACATTTATAATAATGAACGTTTTTATCATCAGAAAAATCAAAGCCAAAAAAATGTATAGATGTTTTAAAGAACTGAATATTAAGTGCCTATTATGACTGGATTTACCTCTGCAATTAGTTCTTTGGTTCTAAAAAATTTTTCCCTGGCATTTTCATAGACAGCTGAATTTGTGGAGCCTTGCTGGAAGTATGCTGCGCCCAAATCATAGCACACCTGAAATAATAATGAACACCGAGTTGCTTAACAATTTCTCAGGTACTTAAGAGCTGACAGAACCAAAACTGTATCTCAGGAAAACACAGAAGAAAAGATATAAAAAAATACATATTCCAAGGAGCAGTGCTACCATCAGTGTTCTTAGTCACAAGCAACATAAACCAACTCTGGTCAATTTACGCACAATATTGATTTACTGAGTAGATTTTAGGTCGCCTACAGAATTGTTAAAAAGGCTAAAGAATCTGTCTAGAAAAAAGGGCAGGGGAGGCATGCAGTCAGGATGACAGCCAACACTAGTCTCGTGAAGAATCTCAATAGTAGATTCCACAGCTCCTGTCACCTGTAGCCACCAGGACCAGACCCTGAAAGCAGCAGTTACACTCCTGCAAGTGCTGTCCCCAGAAACTAGATTTCACTGTCACTGTTGCCGCTACCCACCACCACAATGGTTTCTCCATCACCCTCAATGCTATAACTTACTAGGACTAGCTCCTGATTCAGTCTAAAAGAAGCATACCCATCTGGTTGTAAAACTTACGTGATATGCCTGCCCTCAAGCCAGATAAGGCTAGAGAAAGCTAGTACTGGGAGTTTTTAGTTTATTCTGTAAGAAGCAGGCTCTGCCTCCCGCAAGTCTGAAAAGAACGGGAATTCTTTTAACACAGGAGAGGGGGGAAAAAAAGCTGAGGAGCCCCTCAAAAGTGAAGATGATGCACATCTACCATAACATACTGGTTAAATTGAGAATTGTAGGCTAACTATAAAACTTTTCCAGTCGTGTGTTTCTATGACAGAATTTGTATGTAAGATGTGGACACTAGGCAAAAAAGAAAATAATTTGTATGTTTTTCAAAAAGCTTATATTGACACCCGGAATTACCGAATGCAAACCTCAAAAGACTCAGATTATTTAGTTCAACTTGGCCATTTTACGGATAAGAATACAAAGGCCCAGAAAGTGACATGAAAAGCATATAACTAAGTAGTGGAACAGCCAAAGTTTGAACTCAGATTCCTAAGCTCGTAATATTCTGACTCGAATTTATTCTACACATGGCTGACAGATCAAGTCTTCTTGATCCGACTAAGAAGTCTTCAATTATTCCCCAAAACAGAAGAAAGTTCAAACTCCTTGGCTTCATCTCTAAGGATCTCAGAATCTGGCCTAATCTCTCTTTCCAAACCTCTCTACTGTGCTCTATTTCAATCACACCAGCCTTCCCAAGTCCTCATTCACATGAGAGCCTAGAAATATGCTTCATTCCACACCCCTCACTCCTTTTATACCACCAAACCAACCTTTGGCAACAGATACTTACTCCTCTTCCAAACTCCTAAGCTATAATCATGCCTGGTATTCATCATGAAACCACTCTTCACTGATTTGCTTTATAAATATGGTTCTGTCCAATTCAATGAAACCAGGTTAATTCTCCTTAGCTTCTACAACATTGCTTTGCACTATTTAGTCCACACTACATGTTTGGCCTTTTTTTTTTTTTTCTAAGATGGAGTTTCACTCTTGTCACCCAGGCTGGAATGCAATGGTGTGATCTCGGCTCACTGCAACCTCCTCCTTCCGGGTTCAAGCGATTCTCCTGCCTCAGCCTTCAGAGTAGCTGGGATTACAGGCACGTGCCACAACGCCTAGATAATTTTGTGTTTTTCGTAGAAACAGGATTTTGCCACATTAGCCAGGCTGGTCTAGAACTTCTGACCTCAGGTGATCTGCTCATCTCGGCTTCCCTTGGCTGATTTTCATTCTAGAGAGTTTCCTCATTTAGCATAGGGATGCTAAAAGAGCAAAAAATACACACATACACACACACACCCCCATGCACATATATGCATACTTACTATAGTTATATGTAATTCCCCTTTCTAGGCAAAGATAGACCGCAAAATACCAAAAAGATATTTTCAAGTATTACTCTAGCAACTGACTAGCCATTACAATGAGTTTAGAGGTTAAGAAGTGGTCAATAGATTTACTATAAAAACAAAAAAGCCTGATAATGAAGCTGCCCTGAAGGGCAATAAGGCCTGGTTTTACTGGGAAAAAAATAACAATTTTTCTTTTTAAGTCTAAGGTAAATTTTAGCATTGTAAAGAACCTACTTTAAATACGATCTGGTGACTAACACCTGTAATCCCAGCACTTCGGGAGGCTGAGGCGGGTGGATCACCAGAAGTTGGGAGTTTGAGACCAGCCTGACCAACACGGAGAAACTCCGTCTCTACTAAAAATACAAAAATTAGCCAGGCAAGGTGGTGCATGCCTGTAAACCCAGCTACTTGGGAGGCTGAGGCAGGAGAATCATTTGAACCCAGGAGGTGGAGGTTGCGGTGAGCCGAGATCATGACATTGCATTCTAGCCTGGGCAACAACAGTGAAACTCCATCTCAAAAAACAAAAAATTATCGTGCCAGGGAATGAGTGTTACCACTAATTTGCCTTTCAAAACACAGGAATTGTCACTCAGCTATGTAAGTAAAAGAACATTTGATAGTTTACCTAGCACACACAGATGTTTTATAGGAGTTTTGATTTCAGGTTGTATCATCCACCATATTGTGAAAATCAGAAGTGTCATCAACTACTTTTAAACAGGTTCTGAAAGATTATGAGATACTAAGTACCAGTAACACTCCTATATGCAAGTTTCATCAGTGATTTTAAAAGGTTACCAAGTATCCTGTTATCCCAGCACTTTGGGAGGCCGAGGTGGGAGGGATCTCTTGAGCCCAGGAGTTGGAGATCAGCCTGGGCAACATAGGGAGACCCTGTCTCTATCAAAAAAAAGAAAAGAAAAAAAAAAAGGTTACAAAGTATCAATTCATTACTCTTACTACTGCTGCAAACTCCAGCTCATCCGGCCTTGAATAAATGGTTACCTTCAGCTCTACAAAAAGCTACTCTGCAAAGGCACCTTCCCAAAAGTGTCGTAACTATTTTTACCCCTTTCCAGAAAAGGAATTCGTGATAAAAGAGGCCATGCTAACTCATAGGAATAAGGAAAGATAATACATTTTAGAAGGTACAATCCTAGTAGCCCTCTCTAGGCAACTAAATACTTTAAAATTTTCATTTTACTAAAAGTTCTATTCTAGAAAGTAAGATGCAGAACATACCAAAAAAAAGATGTCAAGCAGTTCATAATCCAGTAGGGAAAAAAGATATAAACACATAATATAATATGTGACAACGAGCATCAACTGAAAGCTGTGAAAGGAACTAGGGGCCCAGAGTTAGAGAAAGCGAGCAAACTTAAGATCCCTGAAAAGCTAGACACTATCTCTTGAGGTCTAGATTTTTCAAAGTGTAGCACAATATTAGTTTTTATTTTCTTTTCGTCTATTAGATTTCTAATCATATGAATGAACTGTAAATCAATTACATATAACTGTATTCTCAGTACTTAAACTCTGTCTTCTAAACACAATCCGGAAACTATTTCAGAGACAACAGATGACATAAAATTTCCCTTCCATTTCTTTTAGAAAAATGTCAATTCTTATAAATGTATAAATTAAATACAATGCAGTTTTAACAGCATCTTAAGAGACAAAGGCAGAAATAAATTCTAATTAAAAATAGGAGGATGATCTCATATTAAGATTTTCCAAGGCCGGGCGCAGTGGCTCACACCTGTAATCCCAGCACTTTGGGAGGCCAAGGTGGGCGGATCACGAGGTCAGGAGATCGAGACCATCCTGGCTAACATGGTGAAACCCCGTCTCTA